CTCGCCACAGTATGTTATTTTATTTTATGCTCCACAACCTCCTTAGGGGTCCCGAACCCCTGGTTGAGAGCCACAGCTATAAAGAACGTGTTAGCTGATATTCACGTCAGTTTCAATTTCAGGAGATTCTTATTTTAACCTTCTTAAAACCAGCATTTGGAGGAAGTAGCTTGTATAAGATAATCGTAAAACTAAGTAGCCTCTACCCTTTCTTTCAGCGCATTTAATCAATATGTCATGTGTTCTGCTGATCTCCTCATTTTCAGATTGTAGCTACGTGTTATGAACATAAAGTGAATCTAGTGTTTTTGCCTTCGCAGCCAATAAAAAGCCCTGATATCCATTAGAGTTTCATTATTTTTTTTTACTTTGGCTGCTTGCAAAAGTTAAAGGATTAGGATTTAATGAGTGGATTCAATAAGATGCTTATTCAAATAAGATTGAACCCCAACCCTAGAACTCTGCCGGATCAATTTTGACCATTCTTTCTTTAATATGTCTGTTACAAATCCTCTAAATTTATGGAAGTGCAATAGTAAGTCACCACGCTTTTAACTGATTCATCATTTTGTCAATAACACCTCAAGGCCCAAGGTGATGTCTTCAAATAGCTTTTTTTGTCTGATCCACAGTAATAACCTAAGGATATTTAATTTCCAACACTATTAAACAGAGAAAAGCAGCAAATCCTCACATCTGTGCAGCTGGAACCAGCAAATGTTTGGAATTTTAGCTTAATTCAATGAAACATTTACCAAAAGTGTTGCATGTTGAATTGATTTTCTCTCAGTCAATCAGCTGACTCTGGACAGTACCAAGGTGTGGAGTGATAAAAAGCCTCCACTCTCTCTCAGTGGCTACCTTTCAAGCACTGGATAAATGTTTGATCATTGTGCAAGTATTTTAAGAGCTTTCTCCTCCTCCACACAAAGGTGATCATAATGTGGAGTCTTGGATCAGTGTGAGGCGTAATGGAGCAGCAACCAGTGCAGCAGAGCTCAGTATGAGGTTGCTAAATTGACTTCCCAAGGGGGGGGGTTACATTCAAAACTCTTTAGCACTTAATGCTGGCGTAGCAGCAGACTGCATTTCTCCTTATAAGTCTCTCTCACCCTGTCTCTCTCTCCCCCCATGGCCTGTCAGCGTGCTGTCATGACAACCAGTTCAGATTAGCAGATCATTAGCAATAAGCCCTGGGAATGGATGTTAATAATAACTGTTAATTATTCCGCTTTAATGTTTTTTTTTTTCTGCTTTCACACCTTAATGCCTGTTTTTACTGCACTGTCGTATTTTGCAATTATTCTTTCATGGACATGTTTTACTGCCCTTTTATCCGCAGAGAAGTTATTATTATGATCTACAGTATTTCTGGCAAAGTGGTTGTAATAGTACTTAAATCATATTCTCAGACTTTTCTGCATTACATTAACATCACAAGCAACTACATAAACAAGTACATGTCACATGTTACTTCTGATGCCATTTGCCACAACTGTCACACCCCTTCTTCTTAGAGTCTGAACTCAGTCACACTGCTATGCTCAAATGGCACACTTACTCTTTACAGTGGTGGCGTTTCAGTCTGTGGAGGATAAATGTTTCTTATAACTTTTGCTCAGTCACTAGATTCTGAGTTTAAGCAGCACTATAAAGAGGCTAAATTGTCAGTGAAGAAATTAGTCTACCTCGCAGTGCAGTCAGCATCACACACTTCACTGATCTGAGTTCAGTAGCAGATCTGCCATTAAGTTTCCACACATTGGTATTCAATGTAGGCTAATTAGACTGTCCAGAGATCAGTGAGGAAGCTTAGCTCTGTCACACATCTACGTCACTCATGTGAGCACACCTTGGAGAATTCAAGCATCTTATCTGTTCTCCTAATTTTTAGTAGTCTAAAATTAGTTAATTTCACTTTGTCGTGTTTTGTGGGGCCTCGGCTGTTTCATGCTCTCTCTCTCTGGTTTTTGAAGTAGCATATTTGAACTGCTGCTGAAGTGTTTTGACTTTTAAACTGTTGCAGTCTGGGTAGACTAACATGATGTATTACAATAGAAAAGATTAGAAAAAAACTTGCAGTGTTTTTTGGGTGTTCTGTGTGTTAAGTTTGCCATGGCCCGTCAAACACCTAATGTTATATGGGCTTACGCAAACAGTATCGTGTAATGTGTTCTGTCTGCTAGATACTTCTAATGCCTTAGTCGCTGATGTGGAAAAAGCTGTGATTATCTTTCTTCAGCTCGAGTTTTGCCTCTGTGTTGGTAAAATGACTTACCTCTGACTGGTAAAGGCAAATTAAGAGTCAAAAGCTCACCATTTAGCTCACAATTTAACTTCCTCATACCTGATACCCTGGCGCCCCCCTATGCTGTGCAGTATGAGCAAGAGCTGCTAGCCAGACTTTTGTCTGTTTTCCATAGAATTCTGAATTTCTACATTCTTCTTGCAGTTGCCAACATAATAGCATACATTGTCAGACTGTAACACACATTAACGGCGCCCACACAATGTTACGGTAAAAGCTTATGCGTGGTTGTCAGTGTATTTCTCTGTGAGCTCTTTGTGACACCAGAGAACAACAATAAACACATAATATGAAGTATTAAAGTGCTGCATTGCCTGCTGTCACTCACCACATTATGTCATTTTATATAGATATAATACAAGGAATAAATAGCATTTAACAGAAAATGAAGCAGTCTAGACAATGTCTATAGGTATTTCTGTGAAATAAACAGATACAGATAGTTGCTTACTCCTCTACAAGCAACATAAAGCAAACTTAACATACAAACACAAGTATGCACATCTATACTATCTACTATCATCCCATATCAACAGTCGGGTACTTGAACCTCTCTCCAGGCTGTTAAATCACTAGACTGTGTGGTCTGTTGTGGCCATGCTTAATTAGTTTCTGCTAACCACAAATTACCACTGTTATCACTGAATATTTCCCACACACAATTTAAAACTATGATCCCATGCCCTGATATTCTGTTGGAAGAGTAACATATTCAGGAGAGGACTTCCACCGAGCACTAATGTAATTCGAAGTGACACAACAGCATGAAACGATACAGCCATCTTTCAATTTGCTCTGAGGGGAAGTTAGGTCTAAGGATTTCGTGAGGTGCATCGCCAAATGAGGATATCGGTTATTCTGGGCTCTTGCAAAATGTGCGTACAGTTGTTTTGGAGGATTATGAAACCAATAGACCCTCCTCAGGAAACGCCAGAGGTAAAAACAAGCTGATCTGCAAACAGGAAGAAGGGAATGAGGAGTGATCGAGGTCAAGGAAAAGGGGATAAATATGATGATTAAGTGATTCTGTCGGAGAGAGAGGGAGGAGAGGTAGAGGAGATTGAGTGGCTTTAGGGAGACTGAATTTGATAGAAGCTGTCAATAAGTTAGAGCTGTGAGGAGATTAATCCGACACCCCATCAGAAAAAAAATGATACGGAGAAAAGGAGAAAAGTAAAGGTAGCTCAGGATGATATGAAGAAATAACAAGATAGTGTGGGATCTTTGAAACGAGGAGTCACACAGACAAAAACAATAAGAAGACAGAAGGATAGAGAGGGAGGCAAAGAGAGACAGCGAGGGAGGTAGTGAGACATATAAAGATGGATCAAGCACCCACTGAAGTAGAGAAGGAGAGAGTGATTGAGAGGGAGGAGGTGTGGAAAAGCAGCCATGATTAGATGGATTCTACTGGACCATGAGATTGATGACTCTGCTTCAGAAAGAAAAGGAGAGAGGGGAGGGAAGAGATAGCAGAAACGGGGGAATCACAGAAAAGTCCTGATGAAAAGAACCATCGCGCCCCGCAAGACAAAATCTAGAGTATGATAAAAAGAATGAGCCAGTTTTATCTTCCAGCCCTTCTATCTTTAAAACTGAGCGCAAGCAGCATCTTTGCACATTTCAGTATCTCTAATAGGATCTATAACACTTTTTTTTTTGTTCATCATCAGTTATGCATGGTTTGAAAAAAATAAAGTATTTCCCCAGAATAAGAATTGCTGCTACATCAAAGGAGATTATGTCTATACCAAATAAAAGTCTGTTTGTAAAGAAGGATTAGATTTAGTTTAGCTTTCAGACAACCAAAATCCTGTGTATTTGTTATCCATCAATGCCCTTGAATGCAGACATTTAAATACAGGAAGATTTGAGTATAATAAATGCATGTTTTTTCCCCATATTTAGAGCTTAAATTCATCCTCTTATTGTCTGTCAGTGTGTCCAATTAGAGCAGTGATTCTAAAAAGTTCCACAGCAGTGCCCGTCCAGTTAACGAAGGAGTAGCTCATTACAGAGTAAAATATGTAAAATCCACATGCCAAGTTCAGTTTGACATTGAGGTATGGAAAGGAGGGGGAGGGAAGGAGTAAATGGGGAGTGAGTCCAGGAGAATGAGAGGAAGTGGATATTAATCTTTTCCCATGAGAACGTTTCACTTTCACCTTCTCTGCCTTGATCCTTCCCCCCTCTCTGTCTCACCCCTCCTCCTCCTCCTCCTCCTCATCCTCCCCCTCCTCTCAGACTGCCGGAGTGGTTCTGATTTGCCAGCCTGTGTCTGGTCCAGGGGGGATAAGAGGGAGATAAACAGCGTTTGCAAACAGAAAGTGGTCAGAGCTGAGGCAGAGCAGGCCCTATCAATGGAGAGAGTTTCCTTGGATATTCACTTTCTTCAGACCACAGAGCTCTTATCAGAGGCAGTGATAGAAAGATAGGGTAACTGGTTGTGGCACAGTGCTGCCTGCCTAGCCAGTGGACTGATGTTATGGGCTGTAACGAATAGGGAATAAAGAATATTGTTATATTTGTCACTCGCCTTGCTGCTATAAATGCCTTATCATGAAAGTAAGTTAAAATAGAAATATGTTAGAAGTTGTACCTCCAGTCAACAAGCTTATCTTACTGCTGCAGTTTCATTATGTAGTTATGATTTACGTCGCCACTGACTGCCTGTTTTCTCATCTTTTGTTAGATGCTGTCACAGAGAGCTGAAGGCATTCCTGCGAGCTGCGATGGGACACAGTAAGGCCGTGGACACGATAAGAAATCTCTGCAGTGCTCCTTTTCAGTCACAACACTAACACTAGACAATATAAACGTCCATTATCTAAAATTAATGTCAGCTGTGTTGCGGAGGCAGCCTCAAGCTGCGCCGCCAGATCTGAGACAACCCATGGAGGCGTGGCCTCAATGTTTCCAACGCTGCTGCCACTGGTAACGAACAGCGATGCCTTCTAAGGTCTCCTGCTTATATTTGCTGACAGTGGTTTGCTGGGCCAGCGCTCTGTGGTACCTGAGTGTGTCCCGCCCTTCCACTTCCTACGTGGGACAGCTGACTATGCCTATACGCAAAACACCCAAGGGGAACAAGAACTCCACCTTCAGCAACATCCGCACGCGCTCGCTCAACCCGCACGACTTCGGCTACCTCATCAACGAGGCCAAGAAGTGCGAGGCAGAGCCCCCGTTCCTTGTCATCCTGATCAGCACCACTCACAAGGAATTTGACGCACGTCAGGCCATCCGAGAGACATGGGGTGACGAGAGCACGTTTCCAGAAGTGCGCGTGGTCACGCTCTTCCTGTTGGGCCGCAGCACTGATCATGTCCTCAACCAGATGGTGGAGCAGGAGAGTCAGATCTTTCATGACATTGTAGTGGAGGATTTTATTGACTCTTACCACAACCTGACGCTTAAGACACTGATGGGGATGCGCTGGGTAGCCACATTTTGCTCTAAGGCTCAATATGTCCTCAAGACGGACAGTGACATCTTTGTCAACATGGAGAACCTCATCTACAACCTCTTGAAGCCCACCACCAAGCCCAGGAGGAGGTACTTCACCGGCTACGTCATCAACGGTGGGCCAATCAGAGACATGCGCAGCAAGTGGTACATGCCCAGGGATCTGTACCCAGAGAGCAAGTACCCCCCATTCTGCTCCGGCACCGGCTACGTCTTCTCGGCAGATGTGGCGGAGCTCATATACAAGACCTCCTTACACACCAGGCTGCTGCACTTGGAGGACGTGTACGTCGGTGTGTGCCTCCGTAAACTGGGCATCCACCCATTTCAGAACAGCGGTTTCAACCACTGGAAGATGGCCTACAGCCTTTGCCGCTACCGCCGGGTGGTCACTGTCCACCAGATCTCCCCAGAGGAGATGCACCGCATCTGGAACGACATGACCAGCAAGAAACACCTTAAATGTTAGCAGGACTATTAGCATAAGCGTCGGCGGGAGAGTCAGGGAGGAATGCTTCTCTGTAATTGGCAAATACTGTAAAGCACGTAGCACTGAGCAAGGAACAGTATTGTTGAAGCATCCAGGACTTTGTCCAGGCACTGATTGCTTTACCAGGAGGCCAAGGCCAAAGCAAACTCCTTTGTTGTCTACATCCTCCCTTACTTCAAGGTGTTGATGAGAGCTGCTCAGCTCAGGCTCACAAAACAGGCACAAAGTTGGAAATATGTTTTCCAAAAATGTGCAAAATGTTCAGCCGGTTTGTTGTCATCGCCAGCAGCACTTCGATTTTTATAGGACAGGAAGCAAGGAGGCTTGTGTTAAAGCGCTCATTTATACGAGACACAAACTGTCCCCAATTATTCAACTGCACATTACATAAATGCCAACACACTTCTTTGAACCCAGACATTCGCCTCTTGGGTTAATCACAAGCTCTAAATATGAATGTTCCTCATGTATTTTCAGTTGTTGTACTCTCTGAACAAGGTGTTAATGTTGGATGTACTGTCTGGCACTGCAGCAGCTGTCATCACCGTGAGGACCATGGTGAGTTTACAGCGTAATGACTCAATGAAATCGGCTGAAACGCGTGTATCATCTTGGAAAGCAGCAGAATTAAGAGCATTAAAGGGGTAGCTTTCATATATTTCAACCTGGACCTCATTTTCCTGTGTTGTTGTTTTTTTTTTGTCAAAGTGACTAATGGGGACATGTTTTGAATTTAGTCCATTATTGAGTGAGAGGGCTGCAGACTACAGCAATAGCACACCGTCAAAATCCGTCCATTAAAAGTGCTTGTCTTTGCCACTGATTGTGATTATTTATCTTATAATATGTATGACAACATTATGGAAAGAAGCCCACAGAGAAGAAGAGGTCTCTCTCTGAGGTGACTTGTTGTAGGATGTCTACAGTGGAAACGTGACCGCACTAATGTCAGCCAAGTTTGTTGTGTAGGTGAACAGAAAGCGTAGCCTGTATTTATTTGAGCCGGAGCATACGGATAAGACTACAAATTGCAGAGCGGACAAGGAGAGAGAGCGTTAGAGTGTGGTGTTCTTGTAGGAGCTGCGACCCTATGCCCACTAGGCCTGCACAAGATAAGAAAAATCTGTCATGTGCAATAACACTGTTCAATATTGCGATGACAGTATGATAAATAAACAAATATTGAAGTGTGTATATTAGCTATACAGTTATATCAGCCTTCTTGTCCTTAAATTAGAAGTGAATTAGAATATTTTAAATAAATTGTTGTTTCTAGAGCAGAAACAGTAATGTTTACAACAGCAAAGTCATTATATAAACTCAATAGTATCTCACAGGATACACATCTAAAATGTCAATAAAATAAATAATATTCCTGACGTCAAAATACTGATTGAAGAATCAGTATCAGTCATTCATCCTGTCCTCTGATGTAACGCTGGTAGAGAGGAGAGGGGCTGGTTTGCCAGCAGCTCACATCAAAACAAGAAATTGCCACATTGTAACACACGTGGTGAACTAAGCTAAACAGACTACAGACAACAGCTTTTATTTTAGCTTGTTTGTAACAATTTGGTACTAGCTGAGCTTGCACTGTGCTTGTGTAAAAGAGAGACTGCAGACAGAGCAGATATCATGTCTCTACAGGTTTACATGTTGATGCTTGTTGAACAGTGTATTGATAAAGTATTGGCTTTTTACAAGTGCTTTTATTGCACTCACTTAGGGTAACAAATGGAGTTTTCGCTAACTCAAGTAGTTTTTTGTTCACTTGACTTCATTGTCTCCACTGCAGACTCTGTGTGTGTGTGGACAAGCTGCAGCCCATAATAAAGACTCCAATCTTTGGCTCCCATTTAATACCGCATTTCTGTACCTGTCCCCACAGAGGAAATGTCACAGACCGGCTCAGGCAAAAGTAAATAAAGTAAAATGTAAACTTTTCTGCGGGCTTTCCATAATTTTGTCACTAATAACAAGTCTAACAAGCACTTTTAATCGATTTTCTTGGCGCGCACTTGCCCACAAGGATTACGATGAAGCCAGCTGCAGGCTGTAGCTCTTCAAAACATGTCCCCATTAGTCAATTTGACACAAAAACATGAGATAATAAAGTTCAGGTTGAAAAATAGTGACCTTTACGTGACCCTTTAAAGACTGGACGTGTTATATTCTTTTCAGAATCAGACATATTTTCTTACAACAGATTCCACAGATATTTGTATTGTGCAATGAAAAAACATTTCTTCACAAAGTATCCGGACAGCGTGAAGATATCGGCTGCTTGCATTCCCTAAGTGAATGTTACTTCTGTTAATGTGTAACGTGCAGTTATTTGTCTCAGGCAGTGCTGCGAGCACGCTGCAGACTATTATATTTTCTATTACTTGAACATGAAGGAGAACAGATGTACTGTACGAACGGTGTGTTCCGAGGACAAATATTACATTTCTGAGTGCTTTCTTCTTTTCATTTACTTGAGATTAAATAAAGCGCTTTTATAAGACTTGATACTGTATTTATTACAGAAAACAATATAAAAGTTTTTATTCTGCTTGATTTAATACACATAATCTGTAAGTGAATACACCCGCATAACTAGATTACGCTCTGCGATGCTTCAGTGTGGTTGTTGGAAAACATGAGGCGTAGATATGAGAGCGTATCATCAGGGCCGCTGTTCATTCAGCAGCAGCTGCGCCCAGGTTGAAGCAGGTCCCAGCTCTCTACACGTCACTGATGGGCGAATGCTGAGCGCTGCCGTAATCCCTGTGTGGCTCTGGAAACAACACAGCCGCTTCCTTTTCTATGCAGGTGTTGGTGTGTGTAAGTGGCGAGCTGCCTGCAAACAACCTGTGATTAAATCAAATGTAGCATCTGTGTAATTGACAGCTGAATGGCTGTTTTCAACCGCAATGTCTTAACAAGAGGAATTACAGAGGCAAGTGGATTTTCATGTTAAAATACAGCACATGAAGCTACTTTTTATTGTCAGTGTGCCTTATAGGTTTGTGTATCATTCATCTAATCTGAACAACTAAAATACAGATTAATTCATTTCGGCATTGCAGGGATCAAAAATGGAAACTGACTGTTTTCCTGTTTTCATCTCGGAAGTGGATAATGCAGTAAACAACAAGTTTTTTTTATCTATGTTTTGTTTTTGCCTTGTTTGTGCCACAACCTGGGACAAACTGGGGAAAATTAGGAGCACTGGGAGCACCTGGACGTACCAGCAGCATTTTGGTGACTTCACTAATAGGTTAGAAGCCAGTAGCTCACGTGGTAGAGCCGGACCCCCATGTACCAAGTCCTTGCTGTGACCTTTCACCTCTCTCCCTCTCTCCCCCCTTCCCCCTTTTCTATCTACCTTGAGCTGCCCTATCAAAATAAAGGCACAAAGCCCCCAATATATATATATATATATATATATATATATATATATAATTTTTTTTATTTTTTTTAAATAGCAGAAGAAGCCAATCAGTTCAGCTATTGAAAGTATAAATAAATATTTTATTCAGAGTATTTATATAGGAAAATGTACTCACTTTTTTTCCATTTTATGGTCAGTTTGATGAGAGGTACAGTTAATGACAGACGCCTGCTTTACTTTATAAACATAAAGTGAACAAATGCATTATTAGAAATGCAAACCCCACAGTGTAAACCTTTTATTGTCTTCACTGGATGTTTAGACAGTCACTCTACTCCGCAGCGCAGATTTGTCCAATTTGTATTTTTATCATAAGTCAATGAGGGTAAATGCTCTGGTTCTCCCTGATGAGGCTTTGATTGGACATTTGCCATCTACAGAGACACTTAGAGGTTATCAAAGCAGCTTCATTAGTTGTTAAACACCTGTAAGATCATTATTATTTAGTGACCAACCTTGAATGTCCCCCTCTGTATGGGGGTTATTTTGTAGGAGACAATACAGAGCAAGCTCATGAGCATACTGTTACCAACAGACATCACACACAGGCTACACACGTGGAAAAATGAAAGAGGAGATAATGTGTTATATCATTATAATTCTCAGCCCACCGTAGATATTTCTGGTAGGTCTAATAATTCCTTTGTGTTCATGCGTCATCACTGGTGAACCTGTTAGTGAAGGTTACTATCTGCCAGGAACTGGGGTTTTTTAATGCTCTGAAATCTTTTTATCTTTCTTGGTTTTCTTCTAGATGAAAACAGAAAAAACACCACCACTGTCCATTTTTGATCCCTTAAAAAGACAAAAATTAAATATTGATTGTTAATTTGTTTTTCTTCAGCTTAAAGACCTGAAGTGTACCGATACATTTGAGTGTGTAGGCATGAGGATGGACAACTCTGCATCAAACAAAATCACTGTAATTAGGTTGCTCTCGCCTCTCATGCCTACAGGTGTACGTGTGTGTGTGTGTGTGTGTGTGTGTGTGAGTGTGTGTGTGTGTGTGTGTGTGTGTGTGAATGTGTGTGTGAATGTGTGTGCCAGTCTGCGTGCGCGCGTTGGATTTGTGAACTCTTTGTTCCAGGCGTCATCATCATCCGAGGGAGCAGCAACACTCCTGTGGGATTTGGTACCGGAGAAATGAAAATGTCTTCTGTTCTGTACTTGCAAAGATAAACATAAAAATGTGGGAAGCACTTGTGGCGAGGTTCTTTCCTCAAACAGTTTCGCTCGAAAAAAATCTTGTGGGAGCTTGTAGCCAGAAAACACACCGTTGCTGTTATGATTTCTTTATAATGAAACTATTCCCGGTTGGTGCCTTTACGTCAAATACTGCTTTTTGATCAGTTTTTAGAACAGTTTTCCAAACTAAAATATAATTGAAACACTTTTATTCTGGTGTATGAGTTCAGGGTTGTTCTTCCGGTTCACTGTGCGTTAAAAAAACCCACTAACATTCGCATTATGTTATCAGTTAATTACTTTATTTTCTTCCTTAAATGTACAAGTACAGTGTGCCCAGTCGTGTACATGTGAAATAATTGTTATTCACAGCTTCTTATCCTCACTGCTGTGTTTTGCATTCCTGTGATCACCCCCTATGGCATATGCAATTTGATACAATATGCTGAGTAATAGAGAGTCTGCTCTGTAATTGGCCAAACAACCCAGTGGTAGAGCATTTAAAAGGCTAAAGCTTGGGGAAAATGAAAAGCGAGTGATTATTCTGGGGCTTGTGGTAAATGAACCTCATAACGAGCGAGGCGGAGTGCGAGACAATTGGGAACACTCAGATTTCAAAACAAAGCATTGGAAGGCAGGCCTGTGGAGCCTTGAGTTAAAATAAAAAAAACTATTGGGGCACAGAGAAGACCTCGGTTAGGCATCGTAGCTCGGTTAGATGGTGTGAAGGCTGGAGGCAAAAGTCTTAATCCGCTTTACAAACATCTCGTGAAAAAAGCAGCATTTTTATTCATCCTTGTGTACATATTCATATTTGCATGCATATTCTTTTTCCCTAAATACATTCTCCACAGCCTCTCAGTTAGCGTGACCTCCTCATGACCCGTCCTTTCAGGCATAGAGGATGCGTGTTTACGAGGAAAATAGCCGTGGAATAAATTGGCGGTGTGCAATCTGCCATCTGTGCAGGCGCAGTTACACCAAGGTGAGAGAAAAAGGCTCATTGAGAGCAGCTGGGGAGCCGCAGTACAATCCTCTTCTTCTTCCAGGAAAAGTGTCATCAGAGTGATGCTGGGATGCATCACAAGGCTGCAGCTTCCCTCAAATGATAATAACCACTTTATGTGCGAGTGGCCTGACTTTCAACGTGGCCCGAAGTGATGCTGGATGTTCTTTTGTTGCTTGATTACCGGCGGTGGTGTGCAGTTTTGTATAAGTGTGTGAATGTAGGCGACAAGTTTGCTTAAAGTTTGCTTTCTGTTTTCATGTGGACACAAAAATCTATTTTCTATATTTTTTCCTCAGCAGTCTAACTCTTCGTGACAAACAGAAACCACCCCTCTCTGAACAGGGTACTTGGTTTCTTCCAGTTAGAGACTACATTTCAGTCTAGAGCAGTAGACCTTTTTCACAGCAGCCATTATGATAGAAAACAGTAGGGTAAACACAGGTTAGCAATGATACTCATTAAGGTTCTGTTCCATTCAGGTCAAACAGAGTCAGGGTGCTGCTATTGTGCATGTTGGCTCACTGGAAAGACTGCTACACTAAATGGAACAGAGCATTAATTAATATTGTCTGAGGCTGTGTCTGATCCTGGTCCGGTTCAGTTGCTCGCTAATGGCAGATACAGTTAGCAGCAGTTAATTAGCGGTTAGCTACTTAAGCAAGAAGTTAAAGATATCTGTCCATCAGGAAACTGTAAATCACAGAGAGTTGACATCAGAGGGAAAACCAGAAAATATTTTATTTATAAAATATAATGCAGTTTCACCAAAATCAGTGGCCTGGCTGAAAAAGGCATTAAGAAAATACAAGATATATGTGATAAAAAACACTTTGTGAGGACTTTAAAATCCACATCTGTTAAGTTGAACTGGTGCTACATGTTGAGAACGCAGCCAAAGCAGCTACTTACTGGTAACTGTCAAAATGGAGCTTATGTAAAGTGGTTACCGATTTTTTCTGAAGGTCATATTTCATGTTCATATGAGCATCCAGATAGCAGTGAACAAGCAGTCAAACACAGAAGCACAACAACGCTCTCTCCTTTTCACTGACACAAGACTTATTCAGATAGAATAAGCTAATATGTTATGGCACCTCCACCATCCAGATCAATATTAGATGTTTTTTCTAAAAAATTCATTGACACAGAAACTGTTCATATTGAATCTCACCTCACAAAGCCTGGGCACATGATGCCCCTGCATGTAGATGCCTCTGATCAGTCAGCAGTCACTAGTTTTTTCCAAGTCGAGGAAGCATGTCGGTGGAACTGATATTTATTTGTCCTCAGTGAGACTCAAAGGTCAAAACTTGATGTAGTTCAGCGATCAAAAGCACAGAAGCTATTAATCTTCGTCCTGTCTGCCACATTTTAAACATTTGATAAATATACATCAAACAAAAGTCGATTTTGGACGCCGGCTGCCTCTGAGACTGAACATTCAAATTTGTTTTAAAATTACTTCCCTGCAAAACAAATCAATGGCAGTGGGGCAGAATAAGCTCCAGACTTGTTCACCACTGCATCGCTGCGTAAATGACGCACTTGTGTTTCATGACTAATGACACTCTGCGTGGCCCACATGTTTGTGATCATTAAGTGTGTCCATCAGTAGAAAGTTAACCCCTGCTGCTGAACAACCACCATATGTAAAACAAAACTTTAATATTGATACCTGGCATTAATATTGATATCTGTCCTTGTCTCTTTCAGCGGCATGAATTATTTTCTGTCATCCATAACAGATAGATGGGATTTAAATAGGAAGCATACATCAGGCCGTGAGGCAGGAGGCTGACAGAGATGTGTGTGACAGCCAGGCTGAATTTGAATTGCGTGAGCGATAAATTAACTCTTAATGCTCTGGGACGGAAGC